ATCCCTTCCCTATTACAATGGTGAGGCTACTTATATTTATGTGGGGAAATAGTTTAGAGGGTAAAATGGTTCTGAGTAGTACAATTCAGGTCCCAGCAGTGATCACTTGAACTGAAAACTGTCTTCAATTTCTCGATACAAAACCAGGGACCATTCTTACATATCCTACTTAGCTGATCCATAATGTAGTGCTGAATCTTAGCTGGGGTGGGAGGCAAATCATCCCTTGTATTTGCATTGAGCTTCACCATTCAGTCTTTTTTTTCGGGAAATTAATTTTGTTTGTAGAAGTTTTCTAGCAAGTCTGCTTGCTAATTTCCAAATGCACTTTTAATATCTTCTGACACACAAGTTCATATAGTCAAGTATTTAATGGTTTACAATCAGCATAGCATCTTGTGACTTCAAAACATACATAGTCAAAAATCATTATTTATTATTATAAATATTATTATGTTACCTACTAAAATTATGCAGGTACTACTTATCTATTTTCTTTTCCATTTGTCTCGTTGTTGTGAGACCACAAAAAAGGGTTATTTATCCACTGTACTGACAATATCTTCAAAGATCTCACTTTTTTTTCTTTTTTTTTTTGTTTGGTTTGGTTATGTTTGTTTGTTTAGTGATAACCTGCTGTGTTATACAGAGTAGCTGTAAGCAAAGCAAGCCTAGCCTGAAGCAATTTTTTTAAGATGTGATTTTTATCTCAGCATAGACAAAAACATATTGTTGTAGACCAAGTCTGATTATGTCTCTGTTTTTAAAAGCACATCAATTTCCAGCTGTAACCATGGTGTGGAGTGGCTGGACTGAGCCCCTTATCAGGAATAAGGCAGCTCCTGCCTTGAGCCTGATTTCCAGTTCCCACCTCTGCTTTCCTTCCCTTTATCATCCCATTGCCCCAGCTGCTGGGTATGGCATTTGATAGCTGCCAGACAGAAGACAAATGGATACTTGTCATCATGGACACAAGGTAGTTCATATTGACTGTTCTCTTCCTCCAATCAAGCTCTGCGCTGACTGAGGACAACCTTGGCTTTACAAATCTGAAAACAGGTGAAAGAGGCTTAGCAGAATTTGGTGGTAAGACTTAATTTTCCTCTACTGCAACCGAAGAACTACTTTCCTTCAGTGCCCTCTTAATGTCTTTGAAATGTGTCATAGATGCAAACTCTTAATTTCATCTCCTGTGTAATATATGAATTAAGGAATGGGTACCATAGCAGTGGGTACAATTACTGATGTCTGTTTGTAGTAGCTACCTGAACTGTGTCTGGCTGACTCCCTTCTTTACCTCAGTAACTTTTAGTGCAGCACTCTCTGAAGCCTCATCATACATCCTTTTAATTGATGAGGCTTAAACACATAATTTTCTCTTCAGTAAGAGGAAAGTTAGCTCTCATTTCCTTATACAAATGTTACATTAATCACCATTTTAGCCAAGGGAAATTTAGACCAATGCGTTTTTTTTTTTTAAAATACATCCCCAGACAATGAAGGATCTTAGAAACCAGCAACAGAGACAAGCAGTCATCATGCCAAATCAGTCAGAAATGCTGACGGAATGAAACACAATTTATTCTTATAATTCAGAGCCATAAATTCTCTTGAGACCTTAGATGTCTGAACTATCTGCCCTTTGGCACTTCTGCAGCAAATAGTAAATCCATTGGTATCACGTATGAGACATCTGTTCTCAAGCCCTATTTATTCTTGATTTGGGGAAATCTCTCTTTTGTTCACACTTGATGAGATTAATCCTAACTACTGGCCTTAAACGTGTCCTTTTACTACCTCTGCAGCCTATTTTGGAGGAAAAATTATTCATTGTTTAGTTTGCTGGCTCATAGGCATTCTTTTCCTAGGCTTATCTCTCTCTGTCTGGGCACTTAGCCCAGGCTGTAGATTTCAAAGGCAGCAGGGTGCCAAGAGGTTAGACACTATAATGTTGTGAATACCTTTGTGGATCCAGAAATTCATCATTAGCTGAGAATTGATATCCTGTTATTTGTTTGAGCAAGAGTTGTATATATGCAATATATAGGCAAAGATGTATACAAAGTGTTTTGTGAGTTTGAGATAGCATATACAATTAATTATAAACGTAGCAACAAGGGTGAAGTGCATTTTATTTTGTTCCTGGTAGTACTTAACACATTCTTCAATGCAGAGATGCCAAGATACACAGTACAGTCATGACTGAAGTAGCTGCTGCAATGATGGAATGATGTTTCTTCTACACTATTTTCACTGAAAATAGCCTTTTTAGATACTGCAGTTCTTCATTGCTTGATATCCATTTCACACAAATTGTAGATGGATGTACGTACTTTATTATATATATGCATTTTGCAATATTTGCATTTGATTTTTATGTGGGTAGAATGATTTTTTTTTCCTTAAGGGCCATTGCATGAGTAGAAGTAGTTGAAAAATGCACTTACAAAATGTATGAGGTAACAAATTATTCCTTTATATCATTTTTAGGATCTGTTTTACCTTTTGTGCTGAATGACTTTGGGGACAGCTCAGAGCTTGGCTTTTTTTTGAGCATTTAACATTGCATTTTTTTAACATTGAATTTCTGGTTGTTAAGTTTACAAGATATCTGCTAAATATTTCTCTTCCATTTCAGCCCTGCTACTTAAGAAAGAAATTAAAGGACTTTGAAGTGTCTATCCCTATAGCCTAATATCAGCTTAAATAATTGTTTAAAGCTTTTCACAGTAAAGTGTTGCCATAAAAAAGTTCTTTCTTCCATTTTATAGCAGATAAGAGTAAATGATTTATATTATATTGCACTATTATGCACTATTTATGGATGGTAAAGACGTATATGCAAACAATTTTTTTAGAAATGGCAGGTATTCTGATGTGAAAATATTTCTTTCATGTAAAGCAGAGAATTCAGGACAAGCCTGCACTATAAAATGACTTTCTCAATCAAATAAAAAAATAATATAACATCCCAAGTAATTGATGCATAACTGAAAAAGGTTATATACTTGCCTTCGACTAAAACTTGGTGATGTAATTTGAAAGTTGTTGTTTTTACACTTGCAGTTGATAACTCTGTGCTTCATATATGCCTGTGAAGTCAATGTGATTCTGCAAAGACAGCACAAAATCTGATAATGAATTCCCAGCATTTTCTAAATATCATGTAGAATAGAATAGAATAGAATAGAATAGAATAGAATAGAATAGAATAGAATAGAATAGAATAGAATAGAACAGATTTCACTTGGAAGGGACCTGTGATGATCATGTAGTCCAACTGCCTGACCAAATCAAGGCTGACCAAAAAGTTAAAGTAGCTTATAAAATGCATTGTCTTAGCACTTCTTAATCACTGACAAATGATTGGGGCAGATTTGAACCATTCCTACTCATTTTTGAATAAAATAAAGAAAAATACCTTCAGACATACCTTTCTTTTGTTTCTTTCACTTAAAGATTAAATACATTAAGCTTAAGAAGGTTTACACAAGGGACCTTGGTAACATCTTCATGTAGGTCTACATGCCAAGCTTCACCTGGCTGGATCCTTATTTTTGTTCAAATCCTATCGCTGAAGGTGTGCATCAACATAATTTGTGAAGTACTTTGGAAAAACAGAATTCTAACATTTTGATAGGAGAGACAAGATGGATGAGAAAGTTGGAAAGCCTCCCCATACACAACACAGCCATCTAACTGTGACTTCAGTTGACTAACTGCCTTTAATGCAAAGAAACGCATTTATCTCAAATGATATTATACATCAGAAGATAAATACCAGCATTAATTAAAAATATAACATCTCTTTTAAAACACATTTTCATGTGTTGAAAACAATCTTCATTGTAGAAGTATTTAGATGTAGGGATGCAAAATGTACAGTTTGCTTGTGTTTGTCTAGTAACTTGTCACATTTGGTCAGAGCTAAATGTTTTTTCATTTCCTTAATTTTCTGAGTTTATTAGTGATTAGATTCTCCACAATAGGCTCTAATGGTTGGAATAACAGCATTAAAGAGCAAACATTGGCAGGCGTTATATGTAGTAATGAGAATCAGGCAATAGTTTTTAGAGAAAAAGTAATTAAAATAAGCAAATCAGCAATCAGAAAGATCACCTATGATATTGGAAACTGGTAGCAATATGGACTCAGTGATTCATGAAACAGGATCAAGGATTTTTTCTCTTGCATCCTCAAACACAAATAACAGTGTTGTAATTGGAGAATAGAGCTTGCCCTGAACTGGTCTATGAAAGTTATTGGAAATCACTGTGTTTCTATAGAAATCAGCCCCTTTACTTGGCAGGTAAAATATAAAGATTTCAATCAGCATCCTCTGTCAGGAAGAAATGTAAATATCATCTCTGAGTTTGTGTTCATTTGCTGATTAGTAATTTAGAATATTCAGTGTCAGCTTCTTAAAATAATTAAGACAAGTCATTTACGAATGTCGTAATAACAATTAAAAGTGATCTGTGTATTCTCTTCTACATACTCTCTGCTGACAGACTGTGTGACAGTACCTGATCCCATGAACCACATGATGAGCATTAAGTAACTGAAACTGTGGATCCATGGTTAATGCAATGCTGTGGCAAGGCTGGGTTCTCAGTTGCCGTAGATTAGGCAGGTCTGCAGAACTCGGTTCAGTTGAGCCAGAGCGTGGTGCTTGACAACAGGACTCAGAATGTTGTTTAAAAAGGTACTTAAAGTATAAAGTAACAGGTAATTGTGTTATATTCCATTTTAATGCAGCATTAAATGTGTAAGCCTGTACAAAACACATAGATAATGTTACTTTTGGCTGTGCTGTTGTATCTCAGATTAGCACATTGCTTTCTCTACTTGCCTGGCTAGCTAAGAATTATTTGAACTGTGGATATTTACTGTGTTAAAATTCTTTTTTTATCCTTTCAATTTTTCCTAGGAGGTGTTTGCATTGCTCAGTCACTCAAAATCCCTCGGGAACCAAGACCAGGAGAATTTGAAAAGATAATTAAACGCTTGTTGGAAACTCCAAATGCTCGAGCAGTGATCATGTTTGCGAATGAAGATGATATTAGGTACCTGTTTCCTAATTTTGTGTTTTGAAGATGGTCTTCACAAAGATACTTGGTTGGTGGTAGAAAATAGACTAACAAAGAATTTTCAGATTCAATCCTATGTAAAAATTCTTGGAAATCTGATAATAAAAAATTGAGCATAATTATAGAGAGTGCTTTATTCTGTGTAGTTCCAGACTTCTCCTAGCTCCTAGGAGTGCAGTGCCAATAGATAGTTATTTGGTGACTGAAAAGAAAGAAACCAATAAGAATTCTAGAAAAAATATGGCTAAAGATGAAATGAATTAACTTGTATATGACTGTATCTTGAGTTCATTATAGCTGTTGTTGAAAATGCCTTAGACTGTGAAAACTCTAGATTAATTAATGTAAGCTTATGCATAACCAAAATAAATGCTGAGTTTCTCAAGTTCTTTGTAATGAAATTTGTTTCACTGGTCATTTGTTGTTTGTTTGCAGGAGAGTACTGGAAGCAGCCAAAAAAGCTAATCAGTCTGGACATTTCCTCTGGATTGGCTCAGACAGCTGGGGGTCAAAAATTTCACCAGTCCAGCAGCAGGAGGAGATTGCAGAAGGAGCAGTAACCATTCTGCCCAAAAGAACATCCATAGATGGTAAGGACACGTGGCACAAACCTCTCATTTTCTGTCAAAGTTCAAGTACTTTAGGTCCCTTTAAAAAGAATTCAAAAATTATGTAGTCTTTGATTACAGGGAATTCAGGAAAAGCTTTCCAACCAAGTTACATGAGTTGGCCTGATCCAACAATAATTTAATTTATCTGTTGAGATGAGGAGATGCTGAATGTGCAATTAGGCAATCCTTTAACTGTCTAATAATGATGTCACTTGGAGTTGAGAGCTTCTTAACCATAGCCTGGTCCTTCTTTAGGACAAATAAGGAGAATATTGGATGAATGATAATGAATCAGATTATTCTCTGGGGAGGAGATTGATCTGTGTCCCGCTTTCCACTCCTAAACTTACTTTAAGATGCTACTGTATTAAGAAAGATTCTTACCTGGTGGTTAAAGTGGAAGTTGATTTGCAGTACTTTATTCCTTTGAGGGTACTGGATATAGTAACATCTCTTAGTGTCTGGATGAGTGTGCTAAACTGGTAATTGATTAGGAAAAATGAACACTATTGATGGTACATAGAGAATTTAGCCACAGGGACATACTTGTAAGGAATCTAATCCAGATGGGATGTGTTAATCATGATTTCATTATGATGGCTGGATTGCAGGAGTAAAGGCTGATGATATCAGGTTTAAGTAGGAATTTTTAGTTTTTCAACGGGTGTTATTACCTATATAAACAGAAGCAGAATTTTAAGTGTCCTGGATGTCCTTTTGTTCAACAAAGAGGTACCCCATGATTTTATGTGGCCTTGAAATGAAATCTAATCCTTAGATGCTACTATGCTCATAAAATAGTTTGTGCCTAAACCTTTTTCTTTTTCTTGTATTTATAAAAAATCTGATACTGTATTTAAATTACTGTTTTTATACTATATCATATTTTAATGCTTCTTTCACTTCTCTTCAATGTAGGATTTGATAGATATTTTCGGAGCAGAACACTTGCTAACAATCGAAGAAATGTCTGGTTTGCAGAATTTTGGGAGGAGAATTTTGGATGCAAGTTAGGATCACATGGAAAAAGAAATAGCAATATCAAGAAATGCACAGGTAACTGTGAAAGTAAAACATTATCTGTAAATTCTTTATAGGAGTGCAGGAAAGCAGCTGCTCCTTTGCATCAATTTTCTGTCTCCCTTCAGTTCTCCTATGCATATTGCTGAGTTGTAAGAAAAGTGTGACATTTTTTCTTAAATCTGAAGAAAAAATTCATGGACAATGTATGAGAAATTTAGTAGTTAATTTGCACAAATACAATGATGCTACAGATTTTATTAAAGACCGGTGGCAGTGGTTCAATTCCATTTATGTTTTCAATGACCTTCTCTCTCACCCTATCTGTAGTTGTCAATATGATTTTTTTTTAGCAAGTGTGTGCATCATGGTAATTTTTGTCCTGTTAACCCTGAAGTATATACAGTGAAAATTAAATTTCTGTTTAAACTATTGAGGTCTTGATGATAGGTCAAGTCTTGAACTCCTTATTTAGTTTACAAACAGTGTTTGAGGATGAAGGAAAAAGCAAATCAATATGTTCTTATTACTTCTCCCCATGTGTAAAAAAGGATCCTATATCATATTATAAAACTGAAAGCCTCTGTAAAATTTGAGCAAAAACTTGAAGTGATTGTCACTATTTTTTGCAAACCTGCTTGCTCAGGCATCATACCCAGATGCAATTGTCATGACACCTAATACAGCAGACACATCAGCAGCTGACTTTGATCTTCTCTATGAGATGTTGTTTTTTGCTGTTACTTGAAAAGTTTATTACAAGAGTGTTACTTTCTGTGGCTACAGCAGATTGCTTTTGTTACTTTGTGTGCAGACACTTTTACCTAATGTCAGGGCTCCTTGTGTCATTTCCTTAATTACTGCAACCACTCCCAGCATTGCTGGTTGTGACCACCGTCTATCTCTGTGAGCAGCGCCAGCAGCAGTATGCAATTTTGCTGCACTACATACATAAGTTGTCTGTGATGTGCCTTGATTTTCTTGATGGTGTCTTCCTTCACCAAATAATATCTTCCCTATGGAACATGAACTTTTTTTTTCGCTTTCTGTCCCAAGATGTCTGGCTGCTTGCTGACACTTTCATGTAGCCTTTGTTATAGGGGTGACCTTCCAAACTTTCTGCACACCAGCACCCCACTTCTCCTGGGTTTGTCAGACAGAAGCACTGTGAACTCTCCAAGAACATGCCTTCCTGCACTTTCTGGACCATCAGATTTATTGTATGTGTATTGTGCCATCAATTCAAACACTTACTGCACTTTACTTCACAAGTCACAGATACAACTCACACAGAAATATCATAGCCATGCATTCACTCTGTCATTTCAGCAATGTCTTGTCTTCTGCCTTTCACTGCATATTTCACAAAAAAAGGGTAATATTCAGTTCCTCACTGGGCTAAATGATAGCTCATTACTCTAATCCTTTACTCCTTGGCCTTGATTCATGTAGCTGTAAATCACAGCTGGATATTTACCCACGTCTGGAAAGGGATTATTTTGCTATTACTATTTTAAATGGAAAATAGATGGGTTTTTTAAAGGTCTTCAGGTGGAATGACTGGTGTATGTGTTGTAGTTTGGGAAGCTCTAAATGTTACCGCAGATGGTTGTATGATTTATCTCAGCCTCATCACATCTGTCAAATTGAATTACCAAGTGAAAAGTAGTGTATAAAGTGCATAGGCTGTATCTTGATCCAAAATAATTTCTAATTTGAAACAGATACCTGTATATTAAACCTCCTGTGATTTAAGGAAAATGGTAGGTGGAGAATGGGGATGACTCCCAGCACAATTTAGACTCAGAGAATTGCAAATGATATCTTGACACACCTCAGTTCATTTGTCAGGACCTCTCATACACAAAAAAAGAGGCAGCAATGAAATCCTGGCTGGTTCTTCATACCCCAACCCTCAAAACAGTTGAGTGTGTACTATGATCTTCTATGTCTGCTAAAAATTAAATAATGTCCCACTCATGAATTTATCTTTTCCTTGAGAGGCCAAAGTCTCCTCTGAAACAAGGGTGGTAAGTGAAAAAAAATGAATGAATCCCCAAATTTCAATAAGAATATAAGAGCTGTTACATTTCGTTATTTATAACTTAATATTGAAAACCTTAAACCTTGGCCTATCCTCATTGGCATTTTTCTTTGCAGTGTGTTTTCTCTGATATTTTATTTGTGGTTACTCAGTCCTGATTTTCAGCTCAATTTTTAAAAGGCAGGTGCAGGTGGCCAAACACGGGAACAGGTTGTCCAGGGAGGTTGTGGAGTCTCCCTCACTGGAGATTTCAAGAACTGTATGGATGCAGTCCTGTGCCACCTGCTCTGGGATGGTCCTGCTTGAGCAGGGAGGCTGGACCTGATGACCCACTGGGGTCCCTTCCAACCTTACCCATTCTGTGATTCTGTGCTCCTGTATTCCCATCTCTAGTCCAGAACTTGAAGATTGAACGTAGAAACACAATTTATTCTAATTTCCCCAGATTTTTATTTGGGCACTGCAGAAAATAAGATTCTCTTTGTGTTTTGCCCACGAGTCCAATTTGTAATTCACGTCACTGTCACTGTATAAGTGTTCAGGATGTGTCTGGATGTGGCACTTTGGGATATGGTTTAGAGGTGATTATGGTGGTGCCAGGTTGACAGTTGGTCTAGATGATCCTGAAGGTCTCTTCCAACCTTGATGAATCTGTGACTCTGTGATACTGTGATGTCAGTAGGCAGTAGTACGCTGAAAGAAATCCAAAAGCTCGAGATACAGCCACAATCTGAAAATCTCTCTCCAATGATTTTAAAAGGCAAATTGATAGGTACAAAGTTCTCTCAGGCTTGAGATGTATTTTATTATGCCTTCCTGTTTTTCTTAGGAGTTGCTTGTATCTTTTTCTCATATAACATTTGTAATTCCCAACAAAAAAACCCTCATATCCCTGTTCTCCATTTAGTCAAGTTTTTAATAGCTTTAAATTTTTGCTACCTTCGGTGAGGATGTTACTGATCTTACCCAATTTCAAGCATTTTTTTTCCCTACGAAGATACTAGGAAATGCTTCACAGTGAAAAACCTTTCTCTCTTTTCTTTTCCATGTAAAATCAACACTGGAAGCCTGAAAGAAATTTATGTTCCTTTAAGGTTAAGAATTAAACAAGGGCATAAGCCTTCTTACCTTCTTCTGTTCTTGTACATTATTGACTACTGCAGTCTAGTGTCGTAATAACATGAACTGTTTATTTGAATTTTAAAATCCTGTTTTTTTGTGGTTGCTGTTGCTCCTTATTCCTAAAAGAATTTGTGCTCTGGAGATACATAAAGTAACAAGTTTCTTTTGAATTTGTCTGTTTCTTTTCTGATTTTTGCCATTTTACAAAAAACAATGATTCACCTAAACTTTGAAGAAGTAATTTTTTTGCCACTATTGATTTGAAGCTAGCTCTGTGTGTTTCTGAACGTGAATGTACATTGATCAAATCCTCAATATTAGAATAGTTCATTGAAAAATATTAGAGATTTCTTGTTCTGACTTTTCTGGAATTAAAAATACTATCAAATTGGGCCGTTAACTTAGTAAGCATGAAATAATAGTTCACTGACTACCCTTAGATAATTTTACTTGGGGAAAAGAAAGGCTTTTGAAGAGAAAACTCATTTGTTTTACTACAACAAAATGGAAGAGAAAGGAGCCCTGCCAAGATTAAACCATATGTGGAGGTTACAAGAAGCCTTACTTTACATATTTATTCAAGGTATATGTTTTCTATATTCAATAGAAACATCTTTAGTGAGACATGATCCTTTCAGAGGTCTTCAGTAGTCTTTCTATAGCACTGGAGGAATGAGGAGATGGAAAAGTTTTCACTCATCCCTGTGCCCCAGCTGAAAAGTCTAAAGGCAGAGACAGCATTAATTCACCCCTTGATTCCTGTTCATTCTTCAAGAGGAAGGGCTTGCATGATGGTTGCAGGAGATGGCAGAGACTCTGTGCCTCTTGCTCTACTTTAAATTTAAGATCCTCATATGGAATTTTTCCATACCCTCAGCTTTCCAGTTGACTCTACCAGTGGGCCAGTTTTTGGTAGCTGAAGATTTAGCATGACTTAGAAATACTGTGGACTGACCAGATTTATCTTAGCTCCAGCTCTTAGTTGTCAGTGCCACCTTAATGTAGATTTCTAGATCTTGTCTTTCTTAAGACTACAAAAGAACAAATATTTGATAATTAAGCAAAGATATTGCAGAATATTATTTTAATAGTTGCATTGAGGCAATACACATAATTCTTTCAGAAAAGCAGAACAGTGATAGTAAAAGAAAGCAGCATTGATGATGAAGTGCAAAGAGAGAAGGGTAAGAATTAAGTGAAATCGTCTTAGATTAGCTTCTGTTACCCTCGCAGACTTCTAATATTTGACTTCAAACTAACGAAAATTTCTGAAGTCCTCTTTGTACTTGTATGTATATGTTTGTGTGTGCTTATACAAGTAGATATGTGTTTGTGTTTGTATGCTTAAGCAGATAGAAATGTAACATGAAATGAAGTTGCTTATTATATCATGTTTTAATGGGAAAAATCATAGCCTCAGCTTCAAATCTGACAAACGAAGTCACAATTCCATTGAGATGTGTTCTGGATTTTGCCCACAGAATCCCTCGAAGGCATCCATTATGGTCTTTGAACAGCAAAATGGGGTCCTTTAATAAAACACTAATGTAATGTGGTGCTTTCAAAACCTCAACAAAAATGCTAATTATAAATTTTCTTCATGTACATCTCCACAGAAGGAGTCTCCCCCTGTTTTCCTATGGTTAGAATTCTGACTACTCTGCAAACCTAATCAGCCTTTAACTGCCTATAATGTCTGACTGTGCTGCTAAAAATAAAGATGGAAGAGTTTCCAAAAGTATAGAGACCTGTGTCAATTAGCCTAATTTCAATTTGCTCTATCAAAATGAGCTGTTTGTTTCACTGAAAAAAAAAATCATGGTGCAGTATAATCAAAACCATGCATACCTAGGAAAGATATTATTTATTT